TCCAGGGTTTTCTGTCGGGAACACGGAAGTTTTTTTTCAGCAACTTGACATCAGGAGGTTACAAATTACCATATTTTTCAGAGTATATGAAGCACCTTTTTCCCCTCAAAAAAAGAGGCTGAAAATCTGGGTGCGTCTTGTACACTGAATACAGATTTTTTGCCTCCTGAAACCCCACCCCCTTCACCAAAATGGCCGTGCATAGCCTTTAGGAGGGTTTCAGAGTGATCCTGGGGGCTGGGGAGGGCAGAAATGAGTGAAAAACAGGCCATTTTTTGCTCAATTTTGCCCTCACCCCACCCCTCCAGAGCACTCGATAAGCCTCCTAAAGGCTATTCATGCCCTTTTTTTGAAAAAAAAAACCGGGACTGTTTTTGCGAAAAATGGGCCATTTTGGGGAGGTCTGCAGAGTGCAAAAACCTTTTTTAAAAATTTGCCTCTTCAAAATCTTGGTGCATCTTATACTCCGGTGCATCTTATACTCTGAAAAATATGGTCATGATATGTTGGTCACGATTTCAGTAAATTTGTTCTTACTATGATGATCCACCCCATCCTCTTATAGGATCTTCTAGAACTGTAGGACTAGGAAAGATGAAATGTAACAAAGTTAAGGCATACAGAGATTTATGTCTGTAGAATATCTACTGGCCTTGTCTGCTTTAGCGTAGTCATGTTTTCTTTTTAAAAATCTATTTTATTTAGCATGTACCATAGTAATTCTTTTTCCTGATATTTTTCTCAAGCAGTGCTGTTTCTTTATGTAACGCATGTCGAATTGTCATTCCAAAGGCTGTCTTGCCAAGCATCTGACATAAAATCTAACATTTTAATCCTCGACATGCATGCACATTGAAGACAATAGTGGATTTATCTATGGTGTGAGATCAGAAAAATATAACAAACACTCACTTAATTGTGGGAGACCCTTGGTTACCTTATACTTCCCATATATTTTAGACTATTATTCTATAAATCATATCCAATATGGTTAATAGTCAGAGAGAATTCTAGTTCTGACTGAAGAGCATCAGATTGCACATTGTTAATACCAGTGAAAATAGCATTGTAGGATGGGCTGATGGCAATAGAAAAAAAACTGCAGCTGAATCAAAAGCAAACACAGGCAGCCTGTCTTATGCATGATTTTTGGAAAGACATGTGATAAATATTTATAAGATTAACTACAAAATGGCACCAACCATGTCTACGTATCTTTTAAGGAACACATTTCTGCAATGCAGTGCAATGAACATGCATAAACATTTATATCTTGCAGCATTACAATTCATACATTGCTCTATAAATTGTGTCACAAACTGTACCAAGAGGTTTAGTTAAATATCCTGCTTCTCTTACAGGCAGACAATTTAAATTTATGAGGAGACTATGAAAAGAAGTTAATGTCATGTCATTTAAATGTTTAGACCTCCTGATGTTAAAGAATACTAAAACTAACCTTTTTTGTGGGCATCTTCAGTTTCATAAACTCTGCTTCGCGGCACAAAACGTTCCAAGGAGCATGAATTTTTATAAATCCAAGACCATGTATTTTTGTCTTAAAAAAAAAACAGACAGAAAAATAAATCTTTAAGCCAAATAAACACAAAGTGCCATTTGTTCAATTTCATTTATATTGCCCTGCAAGTTTTCTTCTTTAAAAGGAGAACATAATGATTACGGCACAAATAAAAGAAGGTTGACGGAAGATATATAGACCAGGTAAAGCAATTTGGCAAAAGTAAATAATATGCCTTAAATAAAGCTCTCAACATCAACACTAACATTAAATGGTACTCTTTTCAAATGAAATACTGCTACTATAAAAAGTTATTAACCTAAATCTATCAGTTGAACATTGCAATTTGACAATTCACCAGAAATATTTGGCTACAATTTATTACTCATTTACTCTTTTCAGAGGTCCCACTCACTGTAATTGAAATTTCACTTTATTTATGCTCAAATTAATTAACATCTTCAAATTCTTGGTCTAATTGACCAGATCATTATTTTAATATTAATTATTTCATATACACCAGACCCCTCTTATCATTCAAAGTATTAGTGCTAATGGATTTCCTGAGCAATCCACTTTGACAATCCTACAGAGTTTTGTTTTTAAGACAATTTTCCAAAGTCTGTGCAAGTTAACCCTTCCAAGAAGACAAGTTCCAGAGCTAAGACCTGTTCTCTGTCTTTGATTTGATTACCGTTATTGCTGTGCTAGTTTACACAAGCACAAAAGCTTGTTTTCATACTGCTGCCCTGAACACCTGCTAACAAGAAATACATTGCTCAAGAGACATAAGTAGCCGCCAATCTCAATATGGCAGAGCTTCAAAAACACATACGATATTAGTTTATTTCATGGAGGAGAATTTAATCAATTTAACATATGCTTTCCTTGAAACAAGATTTTAATCTTATCCAATATCAAGGTCAGAAATAAGGTTTCAGTGACACACGATTGCAAGAAATTCTTTTGCCACATATGCTATTTTATTTTCCTGTGAACATCACCTGACATTTGCTTATGTTTTTGATGTCACATATTGCTGAGTAGTGTCTTATTTATGCTTATATGGAAAACAGACTCATTGAATTCAATGACTCAATTCAATCTTATAGATTGAGACTTATACTCAAGAAGTTATTACATGATTACAGTACTGAACTCTAATGTTCTAAGTTTTTTCCTGGGATTAGATCTTAGGGAATACAGTAGGGTTTACATCCATATATGTATTCAATTGTACAGCTGTTATATCAAAATGTCTTGAAATAAACTATTTATTTAAAATTAACATACAAATTGTAGCTAACTATACCCTTATTATTTATCATTGCTATGTTCCCACTTTCAATGATTTTTGTAGAAAACAAATATTGGTCATCAAATTGCAAAAAATGCTAATAACATCTCACATTTATATAGATGATCTTTTAAAGTTTTATGGAAAATCAGAAATTGAAATACAGTTATTAACAAACATTATAAGAATTTTGAGCACAATGGTATTTGGCCTAGAGAAATGTGCAATAAATAGAGGTAAAATCATGAATGGTAGTAGAATTTAAATATTGAATGGCTAAAATCATCAGAAGCCATCAGGATGGAGCCTTCAAGTATCTCGACCATTTACAGTTGGATAACATTAAGCATGGAGAAGTAAAAACTGTGATTAGTAAAGTAAAGTCATCCAAGAGCAAGAAGATTGCTAAAGACAAAATTAAATGATGGACATATCTTCAAAGCTTTTAATTAATTAATTTAAAACAATTATATAACAATTATTATTGGCATTTTATACCAAACTCTGGGCGGCTCCCAATCAAGAATTAAAACAACATAAAAACCATATTGAAACTATTAAAATCATAAGTATTAAAAACAAAACCTGGCACCAAGTCAAGCTATCAATACCAACATGTACTATAGTTACCAATACCTAGGCCATACTTGAGATATGATACACTGCTAGAATTATTAACTAGTTCCAAGTTGAAATAAAAACTTGAACGTAAAAACAAGAAAACTGATAACTATTCATTATACGTTAAATCCCCGTAGTGATATTGACACATTACACCTGCCTGCAAAAATGGAGGCAAGGTTTACTTCAAGTCAAATAAAACTCTGAAGAAGAAAAGCATGTACTACACTAATTACATAAAAAACAGGCAATAATGAGCTTTAATGCAAGTTAAAAACTGGAACTCATTGAATGTGCAGGAAACAAAACATGAATATCAAAATAACATTACGAAAACACAGAGACAATGCTGGCAAGGAAAAATATTACATGTTCAATTTGTACAAAAGATTAAGGGGAAAGTGAATTAAGATAACACTTGGCAATGGGTGACACCTGAAACATTCAAGAAAAGAAACTGAAGGCTTGGTTTTGTCTGCTCAAGAGCAAGTTATTTGAACTAGTGGAAATCTTTAAGCTACACTAACAACTTGCTAACGTATTTGAAAGGCTTGATGTCAGTGGTAGGTTCCTATCAGTTTGGACTGGTTCAGCTGAACCGGTGTGGTTTGGCAGCCTGGGTCACAGGAACCGGCAGCGACCCAGGCCTGCCACGTCCCCGAACCAGTTCCCTAGGTGGCACCATTGGCTCCACCATCTTGCTTTTTAGTTCTGTGCATGCGCAGAGAAATTTTAATTGCACTGTGCATGCGCACGCAGCACGCATTAAGCAAGCACATGTGTAGCGTGCACATGAGTGAACTGGCAGTAGTGCCTGCTGGAACCCACCTCTGCTTGATACTTATAGTCAGCTAGACCAAAATAGATAATTGATTATTGATTAATTCATGTTTTAATTTAGCTAGGAGATTAGGTCAGAAAACATACTCTGTTCCAAATATACTTTTTTAAAAAAACAGACGTATCACACTGAATAAACAAAGATTCATACAACTTTCATCCAATATAAAATGAAAGCGCTTTTGCAACTCACTTTTCCCTTAGTACATGGGAGGTCTGGCATGATAATTATTCCAATGTCAGGTAAATTAGAGTCACTCCCATTGAAATACATATGCTTAGGTTTTTCTATTTTAATTATCCTGGCACCATTTGTTTTATATCTTAATTATTAATCTAGATGTTTTATTTAACATCTATACTGTACTACCAATTTCTAGTCACAACCTAATTGCATTTTGGAGCCCAGCATTTAATTTAGAATATTTGCTAAAAGGTTCCCATCAATAAAGAGAAGTTACAATAGTAGTATCAATATTTTTTTTTCATAGAGACTTGAAATTCCTGTAATCTTTAAAAACAATGACATGAGTAGTCTTTGGTCCTTTCAGTTTTCCTTAAACATAGGAACGTGTTACTACAAAATTCTAAATACAGATTAATCGTTTTGTTTAATATTGACTGCCCTATTCCTGTATGCAAAGCGATGCAAATGTGTTGCTTAAAGGATGCAGAAAGTCCATCAGTATCTTTTATCTGTGAAAATTTACACTGTTGAACAGATACAGTATGTTATCAAACTAATCCCTTACTAGTTTGGGTTGAAAAATATAACTTACATTTCTTCATTCTCTGCCTTCCAATAAAGTCTGATATGCATTGAAACAAACAACAGTAGAACAAACTTTTTCTAAATTTGTAGAAATTAAGATGTGATTCCAAATGCCTTTGGAGTTCTTGTCATACTTCTAGGATTATTTATACTTTATACTATTTATAATATTTATTAGGCACCTATTTTATCATAAGGTAACTCTGGGAGGCTTTCAGTCATTAAAATATGTCTAAATGTATACATTAAAATATAAATAAATTGAAATCAAACATGCGGGGAGGGTGAAGGCGGAGTGGGTGGAGATGGGATCTGTTGTTATTTGATCAATCACCTTACTATGCTCTTCTCACATTGGGGCCCCAAGCCAACTGGCAGAGCTACATTTTTAGGCTCTTATAATAGGATAGGAGGGTTGGGGCCCACCTCACATGGGGGTGGTGGGTAGATGTTCCAGAGGGCAGCAGCCACAGCAGAGAAGGCTCTTCTCATGGACTCCAACAGCTGGAATAATTGGGCTAACAGGACCCACAGAATCCCTCCTCTACTATCACAAGTGTAATGGGTCAATCCCAGTAGGGTGAGACCATCTTTCAAGTAACCTGCGATAGGATAGATTTATATCTGCAACAGCATCAGCTGTTTAAACTATATTTGAAAGATATAGTGTTTATCTCTAACGCTTAAATCATTCTTAGCGCTCTGCATGTTTAAAAGTACAATATATTTTTTCAATCCGTAAGATTTAATTCAATGATGTACAGGACAAAATAATGAGGTTTATTTTATATCTTCCATATAAGTCCAGATGATATGATCAAAATTAGTAATTTGGGGATATGGTTTGAGTAAGGTTAAAATTATGGATTAAGAACATAGGACACACATCAATATGGGTTTGAATGTTTGCTAGTAATAAAGCTCTCAAAGACACAGCTTTTGTCATTAAATGACATCAAACTTTTATTTAATGTAAAGGTATTTCTATCAATGATGGAATGACTCTGTCTCTCTCTGCCTCTGTCTCTGTCTCTGTCTCTCTCTCTCACACACACACATCCACCCACCCACACACCACTTTGGACACATAACAAACTTTTGACAGGGCATTATCACAATATACATATGACCACATGAATGGATTAGTTGTATTGGATTATATCAAGGCTTGTATGAAATAGAGAAATCCTAGAGGAATAGCATGATAGTTTATTATAAGAAAGAATTTATAGTAATCCAAATTAGTTGGAGTCCTAAAGAAAGGAAACAAATCTGGCAAGATTAAGCAGATTTTCAGAGAAAACTTGTAAAAGTGTGTATTTCTTCAGGCATTCTATTGGGATTAGAGCGAACTGGGATATTTCTACAAAACCCTAGGCCTTGGTCTTATTTTAGTAAACATGACTCTTGTTTTTTAGTTACTCATCTTCACCCTTGCATGACTATCCTTGCAAAAGGCCACTGGCAGAGAGGGACACATCCCTTTGGGAAATAATACTGTCAAGTCAAAATATACTTCCGTGGGAATCTCTCTACTTGTTTGTTTTGGAACCTTGCCCCTTGAAGAAAAGCACATTCTCCCACCTATTTATCTCTCTATTCTACAGATTTATACACGGGCTGAAATGACTATGAGCTAAAGGTGAATTCTTCTGAATACAATATTAGAAGCCCTTTAGAATATTGCCCTTTATTTGGGTTATTCTTTCAGAACTAAAATCTTTGTACAGATAGGGTAGTAATTCCATGGAAATGGGTACCTATCTCAAAATGTTATTTCATGACTTCGCTGTAACTTGTGGCTTTGTGGCTCCAAATTCAAAGTTATCCAGGGAAACTAAATGCATATATTCAGGACCAATAGAAGAAATACTTTTTTCTGAATGTAATTAAATTGCCCTCCTATGAGGAAAGACTACACTAACCAAGCCTCCTTAGCTTGGAGTAAGAGCCAGTTGATATAATGTTTCCAGGCTAGAAACCAAGAGACTGTGAGTTCTAGTCTTGGCTTAGGCACAAAGCCAAATGAGTGATCTTGGGCCAGTCATTTTCTTCAGCCCTAGGAAGGAGACAATGGCAAACCACTTCTGAAAAACCTTGCCAAGAAAACTACAGGGACTTGTCCAGGCAATCTCTGTGAATTAGACACAATTGAACAGAAAGGAAAAAAGGTAAGAACATGATAGTTATATATAAATTCATTCATGTCCATAGATAATAGGCAGAGATGAAGCTTTCCTCTTTCTTACAACTTTAGAAGTTTAATGCATCCACCAAAATTAAATACAAGCAGTTTCAGAACCAACAAAAGAAAATACCACAGCACAAACTGTGGAATTGGCTACCAGGAGTTGTCATGGTAGCCAATTTCTGCCATTTTAAAAGAGGACAGAAGAGGTTGATGGAAGAATAGGTTGTGAATGGCTACTAACACTGATTGGCTCTTTACCACCTTATGAATTATAGACAGTTTACAATAAGCTATGGTGGCTGAGAAATGATGGGGATCTCTATACATCTGTCCAGCCTTATGAACTTTCCAAATGCATCTAGTTGACCATGGTGTGGCCTGGAACATTAGACTACCTGTGCCTATGATTTGATTTACAAGTGCCTTTCCTATGTTCCTCTCTTTAAATTTGGAACTTAGAATACGTAATAAGAAACATTTTTTAAAATAACTTTTTATAGACTACTTTAATCCTTTTATATTTTATACCCGGTACAATCCTGCGAACTGTTACAAAACCTGAATATGAAGGGAATATGAGAATCTACATTCAGTAAATTTAGTATTGTCTCTTTTCCCAAGCTTATTAAATGTATTATGAAAGTTATATAGTATTACATACCATGAATGATACACAAGGCACTATTACTACTACTATTTTATACTGTCCCATCTAGATATGGACCATATGTTTCTGCTTCCTTCCACTTCTTTTTGTAAGTAAGCTTAAAATATTGTTATTTATTTTGGCAATGACATTGTGGTGGACTAACTATATTTATTTGTATGCATATGTTTTGATATCTTTTTGAACTGCTTTAGATCAGGGGTGCCAAACCTACTGTCTGTGGGCTGGATGGGTCAAGTGCTGGCCACCCCCACCCCCATTTTAGCAAAGAAGGAAAAGTTGCAATACGTGACGTGACCACAATGTGATGATGTGATTTTGACACCCCTGCTTTAGATCATACATTGCATTTTAAATTCTATATAAGAAATGTTAACATCTTATAATGTGGGGATATGCATAACATGATGGGCAGAATACAAATATTGTAAATGAATGCGGTGATTTTGCAAATTAGATTAGATTCTGCCTTCTTATATATTGGAGTTAACATGAGTTTCAAATGAAAAGCAGTACAGTATTCATTCCTCAACATTATGAAGCGTTATATTTGATTTGGTAAAAAATTTATAACCACCATCTGCCCAAGTGCCTAACATTAGTTATCCCAGATATAAAGGTATTATGCCTCATTTCATCATAATTTAATTACTCATGTAGCATTTGGATTTAGTTGTACCACCAGAAATTCCTGTCATTTATGAAAAAAACTCTGCTTAATTACCATTATTTAGCTTTTTTCTTCTTTTAACTAATATATCACATTTTGACTAATTTCTTTGATGAGTTAGGAGGTACTTTTAACTTTTCATAATTTCTGACATCACTGTTCTTTGCTCAAGCTCTAAAATCTTGCATGTCTAAATGCTGCAATGCTAGGTGGTCTAAAAGATATTGAGACTAATTCCTGATAACTACATGGGCAAGTTTTTGACATATATTGACAATAAAATACAAATAGTCAAGATCTTTTTCTTGCTTCTGTTGGGATTTTCCCATCCAACTTCAGCCAGTTTAATCCTGTTTAGCCTTTTCTAGATCAGTCAACGTTACATAATGGCTCCTATCTGGTCCACTGTAGGCTGAATGCTAATAACACTCAATAACTGGACAGTATATATTATTTCATTATGTTTTGATAGGAGATTTTGAAGTTTAAGGAAACTCATCAGTTTCTCATTTAAAAAGACTACTTGAGATATGATTATTATAAATGAAATCATGTGCCCCTATACAGATGGCTGCAATAATATACAGTGGTGTTCAATTTGCATTTTTGTTCAATCACTTTTAAGAGGAAGTCCATTATATAAATAAAGCTAAGTCAATAAATACAACAAATATAATATGCTTAATTGAACCTATGAATGCTTTGAAATTCTCATTAACTTTTCAGCAACCAATCAATATACTAATAATTTTTATATGCACAGTAAAATAAAGAAAAAGGAGTAATTACATCTTCATCTCTTTCCAGCTCAAGGCCAGCCTGCATAAGGTTGCTTTCATACTCTTCTCTGCGGAATCTCTTGTCATCTTCATGATAATCCATGTGAGGTGCACCTTCATCCATGCTAAGCTGCCCTCCTTTTCCAGGAAGTGGTTTGTCTTGCTTAACGCTTCGAGGTCCCATATCATTGAAATGGATTCGCCGAGTGAGTGTCTTACTAAATGAGGACTTCTTGTAGTGGTAAACCAGAATATAATCCACTTTCCTTTTGCCATCTCTAAAAAAAAGTCCATATTTGCAGTTGGCATCTGGATCTTGTGAGAATGAATTTAATAGCTGTAAATGAAATGAAAGAGATTGAAATAAATGTTGACATTAAGCATGAAAATAGTTAAGGATTAACTAGTTATTTTTGGACACCAAAGGGTAATCTTGCCAAACTGTAAACTTACAAAGCACTGTTTTTTAATATTTAAAACTTTGTTGGTGGGTCAGGGGCCTGAAATGCTAAACAAATAACAAACAAATAACAAGCCATCTGAGGTAACAGATGACTTCACTCATTTGTTTTGCACAGTACATTGGCTTTGTGAAATTTCTGTATGTTAAGATCTCAAATTACTGCATCCTGAAAATCATTAGCTGATTTTCAACTAGAGATACAGATTGAGTTAGGCGCTTTGGATTTTTTGTTTAATGATGTCTTAAACATGTGTTGAGATCACATGTTTTACTCTACAAAGGCTATTTGTCTTTTTACTACTGACAAATACATTAATATTACATTCAAATATTTGTCACTATTCTTCATCATCTGAAAAAGAAATCAGTTTTAATAGAGACTGAAAGAAACCAGCTGGTCATACAACTCAGCCAAAAAGATCCATGGACTTTGGCCAGTAAGGGACCAAGGTTCAGTTTTTGCTTCATTCGTGATTTTTTTCTCATGGAAAATTAAAATGGAAATACAACACTCATTCTACCCCCTGCAGTTTCGTGTTAACTGGAAGTAGTATTGCAATTAAAGTTTGTGTTTTTCAAAACATATGTACTTCTTAAAAATAGGTTTCTGAGTAAAAAAATGTAATGGTTGTGAATCCCAATTTATCTTCCATTAAAAGCATTTGTGCTTATTTGTAGATCATGATTAAGGAAGCCATGGCTTAGTGTAATGTGTGGGCACATTTAATGTGGATAAACCAAGTTTACTCACAGATGTACAGCAGGACCTGATTTGCAATTCCTAAAACAATTAGGATTGTTATTTTATCTCTTCACAAGCTCAAACTAAAATGTAGGTCACAGAACTTCTAAACAGAAGACAGCTTTCAAAATGCTGAAGTATCCAGTGCTACATAAATAGATGCACCTGTAAAGACTTTTGCAACTCACTACATTAGGAAAATTTGATACCTTAGAATCACCATATGACTAAAAAGATTGAATTACTTTGCGCAGTGAAAACCTATGCTGATGTTTCAGATTGGGAATGGAACTTATAAACCTACTTATCCTTAATTAAACAAAGTATTTCAAATCATTACTTTATTGGGCTGTAAGAAGAAAGAAAACCATCAATGCTTCCAAGTTTGCATGTGTGGTCTTTCTCCAGAGACCACTTTCTATAAATTGGACTGAGGCATAAAAAACAGATGCTTCCTTTTTAAGGGAAAAAAGTTTAATCCATCTTTTTTAAATACTTTTTGACAAAGATACTCTGATCTTTTTGACAAAGAAACTCTTTTGATTCTGCGAAGTGTTTTTGTTTAAGAACTTTAGTAAGTTTTAGTATATAAATTTTAGCCAGTGATTAAAATGCCTTTAAAATCTGGGATTATAGAATTAGTTGGGTGTTTAAGGTTATGCTAGCCTACGATGGAAGACTGCACACAGATAATTTAATTTTTTAGTAATCTATTCAATATATTATAGATTTCAACACTGTGTCTTTGCAATTTTTTATTTCTTCTGTTTTTGTACTGTCTACATTTACTGTAGTGGACCTATAGAACAGTTTTTAAAGAATTTTAATGTTTTTATTCAGGGTGTGTGCCTGTTTCTCTCTCTCTCTCTCTCTCTCTCTCTCTCTCTCTCTCTCTCTCTCTCTCTCTATCTATCTATCTATCTATCTATCTATCTATCTACACACAAACACACACATACAGAAACACAATTTACTTTTCCATTCATTATCACTGACAATGTCTAATTAGTTTCTTGTTACATGTGTTTGTATTGCTTTCATGTCTTGTTTACTTATTTATCTATGGCATTAAGAAACTTAGGCACATTTCTCCACTGGAAAAGCATAGTTGTTTCAAGTTCTCCAACACTCTTTCAAAGCACTGAATCAAACTTGTGTTTGATTCATAGTTTTGCAATTTATAAGAAATGAAATAAGGGCACAAGGTTCTATTGAAAGCAAATTGGTTCCTTTTCAGCTACATTGCTTCATTCAATTCCCTATTGCTTTAAGAATTGTCTAGGGGTATAAAAATATTGAATTTAACAATCATTGTACTCCACCCACAAATGGAATATATTGATTAATTTTTATTAACTTTTTATATTCCCAACTAGTGAACCAGAGTACAATTTGGACTACCAAATATTTTGAATCAATATAAAAATGTTGCTTCCATATTTGGCTCAATGAATCCTTAATGTAATCCTTTCAAAGAGCTGCTCCAATTATGAATTACCATGGCACCATAATTTAAATGCTGACCAAATCATTTATATTCTTTCCCGTTTAAAGTTTGTATCATGGGAGACAGACATGTAAGAGTACAATTAAGCACCCTAATTGTAACACGTGCCTCTAAAACTATTTTTTTCAGGTCATTACATTATTACATTATGTTATTGTTACAGTGATTTCAAATTTTGATTGGAAACCCCAGAATTAAATTTTATAACAAAAATAACTTAAAAATAACTTAAAAAGGACATGTAAAAATATTTTTATATAAAAAATATTTAAAAGGGCATATGCATTGTTATTCCTGCCAAATACCATATAAATTCACTAACCAATCAGTAATTATTAATGGAAAGGGTACAAATATTTTCTCTCCACCATTTCAGAAAGGCAATTCAAGTTTTATGACTTTGCAAGTCATAGTTCTTCTAAGTTAGTGGGGTATTTATAATGTTGTATTAAGAAACAAAACATTGTGTTCCAATTTTCTTAACCTATTGTCTTTTTTATTCTTAATTTTATTAGTTTACTCAATCACAAGGCCTTATCTCATTTATTAGCAAGGTTTTTTTAACCATGTCATTTGTACTGTTATAACTTTGTCTTCTCTACATATATGGATTTCTAAGCCTATTAACTTCATTCTTTTATTTGCATTTGTTTGTTAGATTTATATCTCTGGGTTTTTTCCCAGAACTATATGGCACTCCTTTCTCCAGCTTTTTTCCACAAAAACAATCCCGTGCAATTCAAAATCATCCCTCAAATTTCAGTAGCTATCCATAGATTTAAATTTGGTCCCTCAGTTTTGCTCCAATATTTTAACTGCTATTTCTTGAAAGTTTTTGCTATCCTATTTGATATGTCAAAATTTAAAATTTGATTTTTTAAAGAATAGTTTAAACAATGAGCTTTGAAAATTGATTATATATACAAAATTGGCTTGTGAATATGTTAAGATTGTCACTTTGTTTCTGATCGTAAATTGGAAAATAAGCAGATTAATTTAATTTAAAAATTCAAATTAGACTTGACTTTGCATGTCTGTAGATTAATTACCACTAACAATTTAATTTTGATAAATAGTCACATATTTTTGAGGATTGCATTGATGTAAATATAAAAAATCAATACAATTAAACTTACCTTGAAAAGTTATATGACATGGGTACTTAAAGATACAATTGAAATCAGTGCAAAAAATCAGAAACTATATATTATTTCTGTAATGCAATTGGATGCAAAATACTTACCTACATATTTGTGTGTTTAGGCATATGCATGTGTTTGTATGTGTGTATATACAGAACAATTGTAAAGACACACAGTCAAACACACACACAGAGATGTCTTTTTCCCATACGGTTCTTTAGAATGATGCAGTTCCAAAGAGAAACTTTTCATTCTTATTTTTTTTTTAAATAACCAGAAAGCTATGCTTTTTAGTAACTAACACCAAAGCCCTACATTTGGAAGGAAGAAAGTACTGTGAGCTGTACAACGTCAGCCACAAAATTGTACGGCACTAGGGAAATTAAGCTACATTACCTAGGTGCCTCCTGAACCCATAGACCAGGTGAGCAAGCGGCTCTTTTACTCACTGTACTTTCTGTGCGAACATAGCCGATGTCTTCAATAGCTCTGATGTTGATGATGTGGATTCCCTTCTCCTCGGCAGGTAATGTGGAGTATTTCTCATTCATCCTCATTGTTGTTTCATTAGAAGCATCTCTGAAATTTTCTGGGAGAAACTCCACCCCATGAAATGAACTGTCAGGGTCTAAAGAAAAGAGAAACAGCTTAGCTTAGAGCTTTTCATGGCATCGCTTTTCCAGCTGGAACATGTCCAGGTCTGCCTCTCCCCCTGCCTTTTGTTTTCTGAAAGGACCTCCCCTGTCTTCTCTCCTTTACGCTCCCCGGCTCTACTCTGAACACTTGTATGCTTTGCCCAGGTTCCTTCTTGGCATTGGCTCAGCTAATCAGCCCTGTAGAAAAGATTCTGTGTCACAATATAGATGCTGCCAGACTCTTTAGACTGCAGTAGCAGCTGAATGAATTGAATGTCTAATTAATTGTTTCACAAACAGCCATTACAAATTCATTGTCCTCAACATACAAACAAATAATAGTAGCATATAAGCAGAACAAAACAGAGACCCACACGGAATATGCTGCATGCTAACTTACCTACACAGCCGTACTGTATAAATAATGTTATAGTCAGAACACGAATTGAGTCAATTCTGTCAATTGTAAAGAATTATGAAATTTGAAACAAGGACAATCTGCCAGCGTGTACACCTGAGCCCCGACCGTTACAAGTGTTAACAATGTAAGGTGTAAGGCAGAACAAACGTATTACATAATGAACAGGAAATCATAAAAAGATGACATGTAAATACTTCAGTAATATAAAGCTGTAACCTATAAAGTAAAAATGAACTTCTAGTAAATTCGAGGATAGGTGTACTTTAAATTCCAACTTTTATATCACCAGTACATTATAAAGATGTTGGTTTACTTACAAAAGTCTAATAGGGATGCATTATAACACAACCCATTTTTCTCAATTGTTAGTATGTTACACTAAATAATACCTCTATTGTGATTTTTTTTTTGAGATTGCCATTACTCCTTTAGTCACTATGTGAGGATAACAGGGTGAGTCAAGGCTCTTCACACCACAAGTAATCTATAATCCTGAATCTTACATTAAGAATGAGGTGGTCTAATGAAGATCCAGAGAAGATTAGACATGCATAACTTGCCTCGCAAGTTATTTTCCCCTATGAAGCACAATGTTTGGGTGACTGCCAGGCAAAGCTAACTATCATGCAACTATTGGCAGCACTTCTCCAACTTTTCTGTATGAAATTCTATGAGCAATTATATTTGGGACTTTCTTGTAGGAACACGATGGAATGCTCTGCAACAGAGGGCAATCTTCATTGTAAGATCTGTAGAATTGATACAGCATAAAAAAATCAACAATGAACCCCATCTGCCACAAATAAAAAATTATGACTAGAACACTAATTGAAACTTTTCTCAAATTAAGACTGGAACTGGAACTGACATGTACTTTTGAACCAGCACTTATTATAGTTTTAAAATTCTGGAACAAATATTACTTGAGCAAAATGTTACGTAAAACACAGTCACGTTTTGAAGTTGAGTTGTTTCCAACTATCTCAGAGAACTTGCAAAGCTTGATAGCAATGGCTCAACAATTAATAAAATCGTAGACGATCAGGTCAAGGATATGTTTTTTCCACTTCTAGTTGAAAATGGTTACTCTGTGTGCTGTATCAAAATCCACTTTGAAAAAGCAGGTAGAACAAACCCTCTAAAAGTTGGATACTGAGGCTAGTTGCAAAACTTTCTGGGCAGGGATAGCCTGACATCAGTTCTATGTGCTCTAGTAACCTCTTGGCTGGATTTCTGCCATGTGTTATATGTGGGGCTATTTTGGAAGTTTTGGAAATCTCAGATAGTCTAAAATAGAGTTGTAATGTTATTAACTGGAGCTGGTCTAATCCATAATATGATATTAAGTTAGTGCTCTGCCAATTGCATTGGCTTTCTCACTCCCTTTTATCCCAGGCCCAATTTAAGACTGTAATGCTAATTTTTAAAGAACTGGTGGCGTGTGGCCAAAGTAGCTCAAGGAATGCTCCTGCTTATGCACTAACCTGATGAATTAAATGCAGGAGATTTACACAATTTTATAAAGAGGATGTTTGTGGAATTCTTGAAAGAGAAGAAACTTTATTCTAAATATCCCAGGCGTGCAGAAGTAACCAGCTTGTTTCGTTGAGTTAATACTTTTAATATAATAAAGGTAAAGGTTCCCCTCGCACATATATGCTAATTGTTCCCAACTCTAGGGGGTTGTTCTCATCTTGGTTTCAAAGCCAAAGAGCCAGTACTGTCTAAAGACATCTCCGTGGTCATGTGGACTGCATGATTAAACATCGATGGCGCACAGAACGCTGGGACCAAAGGTGGTCCCTATTGTTCTACTTGCATTTTTACATGCTTTTCAACTTCTAGGTTGGCAGAAGCTGGGACAAGTAATGGGAGCTCACTCCGTTATGTGGCGCTAGGGATTTGAACCGCTGAACTGCCAACCTTCTAATCGACAAGCTCAGCATCTTAGCCAATGAGCCCTTTTTAACATAATATGAATACATAAAACAAATTAACTGAATAATTTGCAGTTTCATAGGTACCAAATTGATGTAGGAAAATATTAATCCATCATTTGTATCCACAATTATTTTACACTAGAGCAATACTATATTTAAATAAACTGAAAACAAAATACTGGTAATTTGCTTAGATAACTCTGAAACTAAACTCTCATCCAAAGCAAGTTCACCCTCTGGCAGAGAAACCAAACCATTTCTTCTTCTAGATCCATTATACTTTGACTTGAAAGAGATTTCTTTCTCTCTCCCTCCCTCCTATCGGCAACAGAAAAAAATCAATTACAAATGCTTTGTGGATTGTTTCCATACAATGGATGTAAAAGCTGACCTGTGATCCCTGTTGGAAAGATGTAAAGATGTAAGGAGACAGCCACGCTTCGACATACTTGCCTCTGAACTTTATCTGGTGTAATATTGGTACATTATTATTGGGTTAAACTGGAGCTCTCCAGTTGTCCCTAATTCCAATGAACATGCAAACAACATTTTGGATTATGATTCAGGTGCATATTTAGTTATTATTTATTATCTTAAATACATCCCAGAAATAATGGCTCGGTGAACATATATAAACTGGACCTTGGTATTGTATTTGATTGACATAAATTATATTTGTAGTATTATGAATAAATTTTAATCATAACAAGATTATGTGGGTTAACCTAAATAAAGTAACATCCCATCCAAATCCTTTCAGAATCAACTCAAAAAAGCTGCATGAACAAATTTTTGAGAATAAATTCATTTGGAAATAAGAATGTATAATTGGATTGCTTGACTGCTATCCTATATATACTTGAAGAGAAGATAATATCTGTAATATCAATCTGTAGCTCAGAATTGAACTATAGAGTCCTTGATAGCAATAGCAATAGCAGTTCGACTTATATACCGCTTCATAGGGCTTTCAGCCCTCTCTAAGCGGTTTATGGAGTCAGCATATTGCCCGCAACAATCCAGGTCCTCATTTTACCCACCTCGGAAGGATGGAAGGCTGAGTCAACCTTGAGCCTAGTGAGATTTGAACCGCCGAACTGCAGTTAGCAGTCAGCTGAAGTGGCCTGCAGTGCTGCACTCTAACCACTGCGCCACCTCGGCTCTCACATTCTGAATGTACCAGTGATAGCTCTTCAAGTATGCAGACTTCTTGATGCTCTCTTACCTTTGTTATTTGCTTGTAGATATTTCATTACCTAACTAGATAGCATCATCAGACGATGCTATCTAATCAGGTAATGAAATGTATGCAAGCAGAAACAAAGCTATAACAGCATCAAGAAGTCTGCATACTTGAAGAGCTATCACTGGTACATTCAGAATATTAATCACATAATTTAACCAAAAGCAATATTTTAATAAGATCACATGTACGAAAAGTTCAGACATTATGATAATTAAGAAATGTTTTCATTATTGCTTAACTATGTGGAAAGATCTACTACTGAAGACTTAAGAAATCTTACCAGTAAATTCTTTGTGCCTTGAGCTTATTCCAGAAGTTACAGTTAAATTGACTGGAATTAATAAGCATTGTGATCTATTTGGGGAATGTTGTATTGTATTTTGAATAAATTAAATGTTAATTTCAATGTTGTTGTTAGTTGCAAAGTCATATGTGACCCATCACGACCACATTGACGATGTTCCTTTAAGCCTTCCTGTCCTCTACCATCCCCCGGAGTCCATTTAAGCTCATGCCAATTGCTTCAGTGACTCCATCCAGCCCCCTCATTCTCTGTTGTTCCATTCTTCTTTTGTCCTCAATCATTCCCAGGATTAGGCTCTTCTCTAGTGAGTCCTTCTTTCTCATTCGGTGGCCAAAGTATTTGAGTAATTTCAATGTTACAGTAACTTTTTAAATGGGGCATATTACTTAATTCAAAATTAAACACAATTATGTATAAAGTATCTTTCTAAAACATCTAGTTTAATCATTTTGTTTTCTCAATCAAATAACACATTTGATAATGTGTTACTTTTAGAATACAGCAGTGCCAAAGAAATAATGACCAGTAGTTGCTCTCTATTTACAAATGTGTGTGTTTTTGTGTGTGTGCGTGCACACACACACACACACACACACACACACACACACACACACACACACAGAGTATATATAGATTCTTAACATTCTTCAGTATACTTAATAAGTAAAAATTGTACAAATAGTAGGTGCAAGGAAGTAAACTATAAACATTTCATTCAATTATTGTAAACTGAAGCACTGTAAGATTAAGTAAATTTCCGGAACCACACAGGAAATTTTTGTTAGAGTCAAGTATTTGCTCAATCCGTGAACACTCAATCCATCATTTTAATATCTACACTTCCTCTTTTCTCACTTACTTTATGATTTGAACCGCCAAACTGCCAACCTTTCTGATTGACAAGCTCAGCGTCGTCTTAGCCACTGAGCCACCGTGTCCCCTTTTATATTCCATAGGTAAAGGTAAAGGTTCCCCTTGCACATATGTGCTAGTTGTTCCCGTTTATATTCCACAAATATTGTAAAATAAAAAGTGTAGTTTGGACTTCATATGTGCTTGTTCCATCAAAACCAACTAAAATT